CCCCAAAACCCCAAAACCCCATGAGAAAAATAAGCTTATTCTCAGCAATCAAATAATCATTATTTTAATCAAAAGCAATTTATCAACTAATTACTCTCTAAAAAGAGTAATACATTTATTAGCTTTACAGGAAATCATATATTATTGAGATAGCTAGAGAATCTTTCATTGTTCTACCTTTTGAGAGTAAATCTACTCTTGCTGCTGAAATCATTAAACTGGAATGCAGTACTTTTTATACTTAAATCAGTCTGATCTAACCCATAATTGATATTCTGCTTAGATTCACTTTCAAACTCACAATGAGTTTAATCTAAATTGGACATCTTCTTATTGCTATTGGTGATGTTCAGACTGATACGATCCTTAAATGCAATATTACCCGTATCCATCATATTTGGACTTTTTACCCTCATAGGTGATCTTATGCTGGCTTAGCTGGTATTCAATGTGGGTTTCTATATGATCTTTGAAAATAGACTGGAAAATCTTTTCTTTGGCTATTAAGCCTTTGACTCTTGCTTAGCAAATATAAACTTTCTCAGTAATCCTGAGTATAGTTTTTATTTAAGAGTTTTATAGCTTACTTCTGTGTTAAAAAGACTATTAAGTATTATACCATTATAAGGATTTTAGCTATTCTCTTAGTTTGCAAATAGATCAATCAAGAAATTTGTTATGACATTATCTGAATTTTAATGAGATTGTACTTGTCTGCTCACATCTTGATTGCTTGAATTTTAATTCTAAGATTAATTACCTTTCTCTTTGGCTTGCTATTATTTTTGAGATTTTTCAAATTTTTTGTTAAGAAGAGACTTCTTGAGATAAGGCAGCAGTTTTCTTTAGTAATCAGTAAGTAGCAGTTTTTTAATCATTCTAAATTACTTCACCTCTTCTAATACTATACCTAGGTCTAATTATTTGTTTAATTCTTTCTTCGCAAATTGAAATAGGTCATTTTAGATGAATTTTTTCTTTAAGCAAAATAGTTTGCAAACTTTCTCTTTTAACTTTTCAAAAGGAGAATAGAGGAAAGGTACTCTGTTTTAAATTTCTTTTACTAATTTTAAATATGTATCAAACTCGTAAGGTTTCAACTTTGAGTAATCGACATATTCTTCACAAGTTTTATCTTGATTTAATGCATCCTGATCCTCGTCATTATTCTTGACAGACTACTCCTCTTTATTACTTGAAGTCTTAGCTAATCCTTTGATATCCATAGTTTTGAACATATTTTAATAGACTTTGTCCTTTTCAACTAAAAAGGAAGAATGGACTAATTCCTGATAAAACAGGAACTCTTGGAGAGGCTTAACTAATCCACCAAATAGTCCAAAGAACATTCCAGCTAATCCACCTATGCTAGCTAAGGCCTGCAAAATATTGATAACTTATCTAGAAATCATAATTAGCTTTGAACTTTATGAATATCTAAAATGACAAGGTAAGGTAAATTGATTAAAATTACGTAATAGTCATGTATGAATCAGGACCAGATCTATCAATGTTTTCAATTGTAGCAGGAGTAATAGAATTAAATTCATAACTTTGTTGTTGAAATTTCTCGTATATTCGAGAGATGGCATCATTGGCCTTATTTATCTACACTGTATACTTTATCACCTTGGTAAAGGCATTAGAGAGTCCGAAATTATCTAAAAATATTTTTGGTTTGATTGGAGAATTAGCATACTCTGCTTGATCAAATTATCAAGCAACTGTCATAACTTTAACACTAATTTACTTTATTGCATCATTGATTTTGGTCTAGTTTTATTAGCATTACACTCTGGGATACATTAAATTCAGATAGTTTTAATCGCAGCCACTTATTTCAAAAGTTATTCTATCATCGAATGATTGAAACTGAATTTAATCAAAATCAAAGCAAAGTTAAATAGATGAATTCCAGGTTTCGTTCAAGAAATGTGTCTTGTTATATCCTAGTATTCTTGTTTTTAAACACTATTTAAGAATTAGCTATTACTAGGATTATAACAATGAATTAGTGGATTTATCTAATACTTGATTTTTTCTATATATTGATGCTGTTATGTTAATATAACTGTTGATATTTTCATCTAAACTATATTATGATAAGTAATCTGGGTAATTAATTATTAGGGCTGTGTCAAAATTATCTTGATTTAGAACTGCTGATTGAACGAAATTATCCAATTCAACTATAGTTTCTTTGTAGACAGATTTGTAATTTAATATGTCCAGAATTTGAAATCCAAATAACCCGAACAAAAGCCCCATTGAGAAAACAGTTACCAACCCACCAAACATACTTTTCTTAGTACCACCTCCCTCAAATAAGAGCTTCACCTCATAACCATACATATCGAGTGACTTGATGTAATTTACAATTTTCCGCTTCATTTTCAGAAACCTTTTATTTATTTATATTAATTTTATAAGAAAGTTTTTAATAGCAATACAAAAGAATGTATCATTTAATGGTACTACTTAATTATAATAGTTTTAGATTTATATCAGCAAATTAAAATTATATTATAGTTGGAATCATTTGAAAATTTGTTAATCTTAATATTACTAACTTCTTTTGATTGATTAATAAAAAGATGGGGTTTTGGGGTTTTGGGG